GATATTGGCTCATTGCAGCCTTGACCTGCTAGGCTTGAGCAATTCTACCAAGTAGCTGGGACCACAGGTCCATGCTACCATGCCTGGCTGTTTTTTTAAGTTTTCTTCGAGACAGGGTCTCTCCATGTTGCCTGGGCTGGTTTTGAACTCCTGAGCTCAGGGAATCCTCCTGCCTTGGCCTCCCAAAGTGTTGTATTATAGGGTGAGCCTCTGCACCCAGCTTGTTCTACATTTTAAATCAAATTTGGTAAAAAGGCACTTGAATTTATTTAATTTAGTTTTCTGTTTAAACTTACATAATGATGAAGGACATTAATGAGCAGCTCTTATTTTACCACTGAGTATTTGTTTTCTGTAAGAGATGTCTCACACTTTTTCTTCAAACACACACATACACACACATGCACACACAAAGTAGTAGGGTTTAGGAAGCACAATTATAATTTGATATGAGGTGTGAGTCTTGGGCTGATCTTTCACATTTGATTGTCTAAATAATAACTGGAAATAAGCATTTGGATTTTTATGGACTCTTTATTAGGGTATTAAGTTATTAAAAATAATAGACATTAACCACAAAAGAGTAACATTCCACTTTTTTGAAGTGCAAATGATATTATGAACAATACAAATGCATTATTTTCATTGTTAATAGTTTTATTGTTAATTATCTCATAAGTTGATGCAGAGAGTGAAATTACTATAAATTAAACTTCTGTTCACAATGTACAGTATTTTGCATATGTTGACTTTACTTAATTTTATATTTTTGCTTCCAAAGTTGATGTTAAATACCTGGTGCATAGGTTGTTATCAAGCAATTACTCTCATTGTCTTGTCATACATGCAAGCATTTTGCTAAATATAAATCTACAAGTATCACAGCTGCATACATTGCAGAAGTGGTTAGAACAGAGGAGGATGCTGAAAAGTTGAGTTCTTTAAAATCTTCATTCAAAAGAGGAGATTTTCATCTATGTCTTCTATAAAAAACAAAAAGCAAAAACAAACAAAAAAAACACTTTTAGAAAGTAGCCAGAGTAGTAGAACAAACAATATTAGATTTGAAGGATTAGAGAAATCATCTAATAAGGCAGTATAATGGTGATCCTCAACTCTGGTAGGGCGTCAGTGTCACTCATGAACTTTTAAAAATATATATTTTTAGGCCTCACCTCTGGCCTCTAGAATCAGAACGCCTAGGGGTGAGCTAATGGCATGTAGACATTTGGAAAACTGCAGGTAATTCTGCTGCAGGGATGAGAACCACTGATTGAGGAAGAGCAGATTAAAGGGAGGTCCAGCCAAGAAGTGCCAAGTAGACTAAAGTGGAAGGCGAGCTAAACTATAACAGAAATAAATAGAAGTGTAGTGCTAGATAAATCCAGTTTTTCATTGAGTAGCTTGTCAAAGAACTTGTCACTATACCTGTGGAAGAAGACAGTATCCTCTAGTGGATATGAGATCGCTGCTTACCAGTATGGCCCACCCTAACTCAATAATCATTAAACTGTTTTTTCTCATAAAAAAAAAAAAAAAAAAACCTTTTAAGTTCAGAAGCACACGTTCAGGTTTGTCATGGGGGTTTGTTGTACAGATTATTTTGTCACTAAGGTACTAAGCCTAGTACCCATTAGTTATTTTTTCTGATCCTCTCCCTCCTCCCACCCTCCACTTTCTGGTAGGCCCCAGTGTCTGTTGCTCCCCATTCCCCTCTATCTGTCTGTGTGTTATCATCATTTAGCTCCCACTTGTAAGTGAGAACATGCAGTATTTGGTTTTCTGTTCTTGCATTAGTTTGCTAAGAATAATGCCTCCAGCTCCATCCACGTTCCTGCAAAGAACATGATCTTATTCTTCTTTATGGCTGCATAGTATTCCATGGTGTGTATATGTACCATATTTTCTTTATCCAGTCTACCATTGATGAGCATTTAGGTTGATTCCATGTCATAATTTAACCATTAAATGTTTAAAGCAGGTAATTTGAAGCATAATAAAGTATTGAACTACTCTGTCTAGGCACTAGGTAATTTTCCTGCTAACAGTCTTTGTCTAGCCCAGAGAATTGGAAAGATTGTGGACTTTGATATGTATTTTTTGAGTACTGGCTTCATTTGCAAACTGGAGATAATAACTTCATTACTTATACATTTACTTATATTTGCACCCAAAGGCTTTGTCCTCTTTCTGTTGCTCGGATAAGAGATGTCCATTTTCTTGATGTTAAGGCTAATTCCTCTACCTATGTGCAAGACCTCTTCTGACCTTCACGAGATTCTCCTTTTACTTTCCTGTTTCTTTCTTACACCCTTCCTTTACCTTTCCTTTTCTATTGGGGGGCCCTTCCTGTTAGCATTTAAATATGTTGTATATTTAGCCTCTAGAACAGTGCCTGCACTGAAGTAAACCATCCGTAAAGATTTCTTGAGCAAATGAATGAATAAATGAATGGAGTGCTCAAATCTCTCTTATTCTAGAAAATGCTCCTCTTACTCTATATCTTTTCTAGGTCTTTCCTACACTCAAACGTTCAATATTTACCCTTTCTCATCTCCCTTTTCTTCTCAACCTATAGAATGTGACTTCCATCTTTACCATTTCACCAAAACTACTCTCCCCAAGGCCACCCAGGATGTCATTATTTCTTTCACCTTCTTTGACACCTCAGTCACACTTGGCACTGTCAGTCTCTTCCTCCTCTTGGAAACACCTCCTTTGCATGGCACTATCCTGGTTTTCTTCCTTCATTTCAGGAGAAACTTCATTCACCTTACTGAATTCTTTCTTCCTCCTCCATCCATCATCTAGATGTTGTTCCTCAGTGTGGTATTTAATCCTAGACACTTTTTTATGTAACTCAACATGTTTTCCATGGGAGAATTAGTTCCCTTCCCTCATGTCAATTATTATCTGTATGCTTATAATCCCCAAATATGCATTTCAGTTCCCAAACCCTGTCTTTATATATAAGCAGCCAACAAATATATATATATATATGTTTAACTTTATATATATAAATATAAACACATATATATATTTATATTTATATATATGTAAAGTTCAGAAGTACATGTGCAAGTTTGTTATATAAGAAAACCCATGACATGAGGGTTTGTTGTACAGATTATTTTGTCAGTCAGGTATTAAGCCTAGTATCCATTAGTAATTTTTCCTGATCCTCTCCCACACTCCACTTCCTGGTAGGCCCCAGTGTTTGTTGTACGGTTTATGTTGAATGTCTCTATATATATCCATATTACTAATCATCAGTAAAATTTAAATCAAAACCATCTCACAATGAGATACCATTTCACACCAGTCAGAATGGCTATAATTAAAAAGTCTAAAAACAACATGCTGGTGAAGCTGCAGAGAAAAAGGAATGCTTATACACCAGTAATGTAAATTAGTTGAGCCACTGTGGAAAGCAGTTTGGAGATTTCACAAAGAACTATCATTTTACTAAAAAGACACATGCATTCACATGTTCATTGCAGCACTATTCACAATAGGAAAGACATACAATCATTGTAGGTGCCCATCAGTGGTGGGCACAGTAGAAATAATGGTAGTTTTGGTGGAGTGGTGGAGTTAATGGCAAAACCATAATTACTTTTGCATGAACCTAACACTTAAGAGACAACCTAATACTTTACAATTTAACGTATCCCAAATGGAATTTGTCGTTTACCCCATATCCACTTGTGTTCTTGTGTTTTCCCAGTGGAAGGTGCCTCTGCTTACCTCTATTTGCCCTGCCTGCTCTAAGCCAGGGACCTCGGCATTGCACTTCTCTTTTTCATCTCTCACCTGTCTGCTCTCTGCCCCCACATATTTTCTATCAAATATTGTCTTATTTCTACGTGCTATACATTTGGGTATGCTTGCATTTAAAAATATATCTTGAATATGTTTACTTCTCTTTTTTTCTTCTCTCTCACTCCCCTAGTTGAAGTTCTCATCAGCTCTTGCCTGGGTTTACCACAATATTCTCTCAACAGTTCTTTGGCCTCTCCACAATGTAACCAGGGGAATCCTTCTTAAATACAAACTCAGGGAAATCACTGGCTTGTTTGAAACACTTTGGTGATCCCCCAGTACTCTTAGCACAATGTCTTTAAGTGGCTTAGGAGAACCTGTGTCATCTGACTTGTTTACCCTGTGAGTCTCACTTGTGGAAGGTTTTCTGAAGATTAGCATGGATATGTGTCAGTGCATGGTATGCATGGCCACGAAATAAATGAGGACTCCTCCACTTGTTACTTCAACCCCATTTTTACGGATAAGGAAAATGAGACTCACTGAGGATAAGCGGCAGGCCCTAATTCACATAGCTAGTTAATAACAGAGTAGGAATATATGAGCAAATCTATCACAGGCAGTTAAAATTCAGGAAAACATTGGCTAAACTTTATATTCTCCTTCTGTGGTTTTTTTTCTCTAGCTACATTCCAAACCAATAACTTGTTTACATGTTCTAATTGAATATTTAATATCTTTTTATTGGTTTATTATGTGATAATATTTTCCTTTCTTCAAAATAAGGTAATGATGGCCAAACCACAGTGCACAAACAAGATCATTAGCAGCTTTGCAAATGACTGGACTTTAAGTCCTTTCTGCTCCTCCCTGACAACCGCCCAGTGGAGCCTGGGTGAGCTTACACACTGCAGAGCTGCCAGAAGCTCTGCAAAAGGAAGAAGGAGATACAACTGGTTTTCTTAAGTAAATGGCCTCTGTTTAAATTTGGCTTTTTATCAGTCCTTTAAAATCACATGAAATATAAACAGGCATCCATAAATATGTCCTATCCCAGCTGAGTTTTCCCCTCTAGATACTGGCAGGGCAGGACAGAGGGACATATTTGAATTTTTATAAGTACTCTGCTTGTATAATAGATGTTAGAAAGACAATTGACACCCAACCTTCTGTGGTCTCCTTTTCCTCCTCCTGCTGTAGCAGGATTGGTCAGTGTGACCAATAGAATATGGCAGAAGTAATGGTATGTAACTTCTGAGGTTAGGTTATAAAAGACATTGGGGCCTCAATCTTGGTGTTCTCTCTCTCTGCCTAGTGTCTCACTCTGGAGGAAGCCAGATACCTTGCTGTGAGCAACCCTGTGGAGGAGAGGCCTACATCATGGGACACTGAAGGCTCCCGCAAACAGCCATGGGAGTGAGCTCAGGAATAGACTCTTCAGCCGCAGTCAAGCCGTCAGATAACTGCAGCACTGCATGTAAGCTTGACCACAACCTAATGAGAGATCCTAATCCAGAGCCATCCAGGTTAGTTACTGTGGGATTCCTGACCCTTGGAAACTGTGAGAAAGATTTGAAGCTGCTAAGTTGTGGAGTGATTCACTATGAACCATAGATAACTAGGTACTTATAAAATATACATCCTTTGTTCATTACAGTTGCGTTTATTTCACAGAATAATATTGCAAGGAAAAGGACCGACCCTCTCTGCTTATCTATTTATTGATAAATAAATCATACTTTAACCTCTTCCTCTCTAATTTTAAGGCATTCTACATATGTATGGGGGATATTTTAAAAATGAAGGTTGCACAGGTTATTTCTTTTTGGAAACTTCTAATGTTTGATGAACTGACTTTCATTTACTGCTTTGCTGCATGTTTACCCCAAGGGTATATTGTAAACATGTATGAAATCTCTGTTTCAGAGATTTGATGTTCACTGCTAATTTATGTTCTGTGAGTGGTATTTTTCTGATTTATTTATTTTAATTGACAAAATGGTATATATCATGTAAAACATAATCTTTTAAAATATGTATACACTGTGGAATGGCTAAATTGAGCTGATTAACAAATGCATTACCTCACATACTATCATTTTTTTGTGTGTGTAGTGAGAATTGTGAGCAGATTGTAATGGTCATTTTTTGAACATCTTTCATATCTTTTTTTTTTTTTGAGACTGAGTCTCACTCTGTCACCCAGGCTGGAATGCAATGGCGTGATCTTGGCTCACTGCAACCTCTGCCTCCCAGGTTCAAGCAATTCTCCTGCCTCAGCCTCCTGAATAGCTGGGATTACAGGTGCATACCACCCAGCCTGGCTAATTTTTGTATTTTTGGTAGAGACGGGGTTTCCTCATGTTGGCCAGTCTTGTCTTGAACTTCTGACCTCACGTGTTCAGGCTGCTTCGGCCTCCCAAAGTGCTGGGATTACAGGCATGAGCCACTGTGCTCGGCTTTTCATATCTTAATTATTGAAAAACTACCTGATCATAAAAATCAAGTCTAACTTAGGGAAAGAAAGGGAAACAGATCGCGTGGTGGCTCGCTCCTGTAATCCCAGCACTTTGGGAGGCCGAGGCGGGTGGATCACAAGGTCAAGAGATCGAGACCATCCTGGTCAACATGGTGAAACCCTGTCTCTACTAAAAATACAAAAAATTAGCTGGGCATGGTGGCGCGTGCCTGTAATCCCAGCTACTCAGGAGGCTGAGGCAGGAGAATTGCCTGAACCCAGGAGGGGGAGGTTGCGGTCAGCCAAGATCGTGCCATTGCACTCCAGCCTGGGTAACAAGAACAAAACTCCATCTCAAAAAAAAAAAAAGACATAACCAAGCAAAACATGTGTCTAAATTTAATTTTCTCTACTGCAGGAGTAAAGAAAGAATACTCTGATCTACCTTCCCACAGCCCCCAGTCATTGAGGATAAAGTCATGGGTGAGTTTTGGGTTAAAGGATTATCCTGGCACTACTTGTGATCTAAGATCCAGTCTTTAGTGTGTTGGTAATTGATTCTGAGATGTTCTGACATCTCCTATTGTCAGAAACGAGCTTGCTTTTTTATTATTTCCATGTGATTTTGAAAAGTTTGACCCAAAGTCCAAGTTAAGGTAGGATATTAAATAAGGAAGGACCCAAAGCCTGCTGAGATTTTGCCCAACTCTCTGAATTCACGTGTTTCTTTTAGGCTGAGCTAACTGCCGAGACCTCAGTGTGTGTTTACCCTTGCTACCCTTCCGAAACAGTGCCATATTGGTAGTAAGAAGTGACTTTGCAATGACAGCATGTGCACCAAGTGAGTCCTGTCTAGCAAGCTGCCACCTTTTTGTTTCAAGCTTTTGATTTGAGCATGTGGAGGGACCTCTCTAGGAAGCATGCAGGGCTTAGGGCTTGTCTGGGGAAGAAGACATCCCTCTTCTTTGGCTAGTGATGCATTTACCTTCTTTAATTCCAAAGCAGTGGCCCCACTCCTTCAGGGTGATGTGCTTATCCTTGTTAGGGTCACACTCCTCAAAGAAGCGGGTTATGCAGTGTTCCATGGGCACCAGAGATGCTCGCAGAGGAGCAAGTTCAGAATGTGTCAAGACTCTGCAATGAAATACATGGCATCCTATTAATTGAGTTAGCTTATGTATGATGATTTAACTCCTAGGCTTACCAAGGACATTTTTCTCCCATAAGGTTGCTGTATATGCAAAATAAATAGAATACTGATGAAAACTGCCAATGAAATAAACTGTTTGTGGGTAAGGTTGACAGCTTTTGGGATGTCAATTCAAAAGGTTTCTCTCTTCATGGGAACTGTCCTTCCCCTACCCTAAATCTATAGGGGTGTACCCAGCAATCATGTTGGTACAACCTGGTTCTCATCCACTGGCCATACCTGATTGTTTTAGATGTAAGCACTTGACCCATGTTGGGCCAATCAGAATATCTTGGGAATTTAGGATCAAGAATGAGAAAATTGGTGGAGTCTCTGTGGGAAGCTGGAGCTTCACATGTAAACTTGGGAGCTGTGGAGTAGCCATATTCTGCTATCATCACGGCAGCTCTGTGCTTAGACTCCTAAGTATGTTTGGCATTTCAGTATTCTAAAGTGGACCTGGGAAATGTCCTAAATTAGATTTCCTTTTGCAGAGATATGTAGACATTTTATCAGAGAGATAAATCTAGAAATGGAAAGGTAAAAAGAGTTCTTACCTATCCATAGGGTGTTGGTCAAGTTCACTAAACTGCCAGTGCACAGGATACACATACATGTGGTAATTTTTCTTAAAGTCCCTTAAGAGAAGGTCAATGGGATGGTCCCCAGCCAAGAGCCTCTTTTCGTCCAGGTAAATTTTCTTGACCTGGGATTAGGAAGGCAGAAGACTGTCAGAGAATCAGACAAATGTAATGGACTCGTCACTTGCTAAAGGTTACTTGAAGAGTGACAGTAACACAATAGAGGAAAACAAGCTCAGGACATCATGTGCAACCAAACGAAATGCCTTCCAATCAATGCTACAGGCCTTTCGCATGTCTACCTGATATAGCACCTGATGCAAGAAACCTCTGGTTTTCAGAAGAAATTTAAATCTTTTTTAAACTTTTAAATATTTTGAGTATTTTTGGCCTCTTTCTTTTAACCAAGTAATGTTCACTGCATTTTTTTTTTAACTATGAGGTTTTAATGAAAAGGACTGAATTGACTTAGGCAAAATTTTTGATTAGTTAGTGAGAAGTGCTGCTCCTTCCTCCACTGGCAGAGTCCATTCTTAGTCTTCTAGGTCACCCATCTGGTGCCCACTCAGTCTCGCTTTAGCCCTGGTGTGTTACTGCTTGGCCAGCTCCATTGAAATTTCCCCATTTCATAGTTAATACCCTCAAGGTTCTCTGTGACATTGTATTCAAGAGGGAGGCTAGAAGTTATTCTTGAGCAGTGCATGTGAAACTCTCAGCTTGTGATGTTGCCTCTTATTTCACTGAGTAATTGGAAGCAAGCAGAACCTCCACCTGCTCCCAGGACCACAGCTTTCCTTCCTGCTACCTTCCTGTGCTCCTAACCTAAGCCCAACCCCTCTCCTCTGGCAGGGACACCTATTGAAGATCACCCTCTGGCAGTTGTGTGCATTCTGTGCTCCTTACTAATTTTTCCTTCTTGACTGGGTTATTTCCAGAAGCACACAAACATCCTCTACCATCTCCCACTGCTAGGTGGGACTTTTGATCTCACTTTCCCCTCCAGCTGCCACCCCATTTCTCTTTATCTCTTTATAGCAAAACTCCTTAAAAGGATTGTCTGTACTTGCGGCACCCACATCCTTCCTCCTATTCTCTGTTGAACTCTGTCCACTGAAGCTTCCTTCCCTAGACATTCTCCCACTGCAGGAACAGCTCCTATCAAAGTCAACTTTGCTAATGTGAATAGTCTTTGCTGCTGTGAATGACCTTGACATGCTAAATCTCTGGCCAGTCCTCAGTCCTCAACTTACAACCTATAAACAACATTTGACACAGTTAATGCACACCCTCCTTCATGTTTTATTTGTCTTCACAGCATGTTTCATCCCAACTGACATACTTATACATATATTTGCTGATTTGATTATATTTGCATAAATGCACATTTGACTGTATTTATATAATTGCATGTATGCCTATATTTTTGCATATATGTGTATATATACAAATATATATATTAGACACGCACATATATACTTATTTGTTTAGAATCTTTCTCTTAATCTAGAATGTAAACTCATGAAGGTAGAGATTTTGTCTGGTTCATTGCTGTAACTCCAGTATTTAGGTCAATTTTCAGTAACTATCTGGTGAATGAATTTTCTCTGGAAGCTTCTGGAATCAATGTTCTGTGCTTTTTAATCTTAATATATTACTGATATTGTGAGTAATGGATTTCCTTTGTATCATACATCTATGTCTGGCTTATGAGAGCAAAAAAAATGCTTAGATTTAAATAAGATGTTTGGCCTGACTATATCAATGCTGAATTTATATTAACTTTGCTCAACCAGAGCTTGCTCTAGGTATGATTTGAAGAGCCCTAATTCAGGCCGACCATTGGGAAGAATGGGGAGGTTTGGTGGTTTCTGAAACCTTGTGGCATGAATGGTGACATCTACTATTCTGTGAAGCCACATGGACGAACCAGGTGTGGAGAAGCATAGTGAGCTTCTGCCAGTATGCAGAGGTAGGTAGCCCCCCACCATGTCTTTCTTCCTCATGCCCTGTAGACAAACATTGAAGAAGCTAACCTGTGGATAACTTACTTTATTTCTCTGCTTCTCATTTAGATATCCAGCATGTTCAGAGTTGGCTTCATAAAGCTGCATCAGGATATTCTTGAGCCAGTCTCTCATCCTTAGAGGAAACTGAGTCACTTCAAAGTCCGTACAAACAGGAATAGCTATTACAAGCAGAAAATATACTGTAATCTTTGAGCTTATTCGTGTCCTATGGCAAGTTCTTATAATAGGAAGCTTAACAACTTCTGGCGACTGATGGAGCTTTCTCAGGGCCCCATTTTTAGGACAGTGGTCCTTAGCCCTGGTGGCGGCACAACAGAATTGCCTGGGATTTTAAAAAACATACCAAATGCCAGCTTCCATTCAAGTAAATTCTGATGTGATTGTACTGGTGTGAAGCCTGGGCATCAGGATGTTTTTAAAGCTCTGAGAGCAATTCAAATGTGCAACTAGGCCCTAGAACCACTGCTGTAGAATCAGAGTTGAAGTTTGTAGGTGGAGGGGCAAGTACTGTTGAATAGAGGAAAAGGTAGATATTAGCTCATACTACAGGAAGAAATAATGCTAAATCTCAGTGGCTTAAAGAAACACAAGTCAATTTTGCAATTCTGCTACAAAGCCAATACAAGGTGTCAGGAGGGGTCTGCTCATTGCAGTCTCCCTGGAGCTCAGCATGATGTTGCCATTTTTTTTCTTTTTCTTTTTTTTTTTTTTGGAAATTTTTATTGTACTTTAAGTTCTGATATACTTAAAGGGGCCACTGACAGGCCCCAGTGTGTGATGTTCCCCTCCCTGTGTCCATATGTTCTCATTGTTCAACTACCACTTATGAGTGAGAAATTGTGGTGTTTGATTTTCGGTTTCTGTGTTAATTTGCTGAGAATGATGGTTTCCAGCTTCATCCATGTCCCTGCAAAGGACGTAAACTCATCCTTTTTTATGGATGCATAGTATTCCATGGTGTATATGTGCCACATTTTCTTTATCCAGTCTATCATTGGCGGTCATTTGGGTCGGTTCCAAGTCTTTGCTATTGTGAACAGTGCTGCAGTGAACATACGTGTGCATGTGTCTTTAGAGTAGAATGATTTATAATCCTTTGGTTATATACCCAGTAATGGGATTGCTGGGTTAAATGGAATTTCTTTCTAGATCCTTGAGGAATCACCACACTGTCTTCCACAATGGTTTAACTAATTTACACTCCCACCAACAGTGTAAAAGTGTTCCTATTTCTCCACATCCTTCCCAGCATTTGTTGTTTCCTAATGTTTTAATGATCACCATTCTAACTGGCGTGAGATGGTGTCTCATTGTTATTTTGACTTGTATTTCTCTAATGATCAGTAATGATGAGCTTTTTTTCCATATGTTTGTTGGCCGCATAAATGTCTTCTTTTGAGAAGTGTCTGTTCATATCCTTCACCCACTTTTTAATGGAGTTGTTTTTTTCTTGTAAATTTGTTTAAGTTCCTTGTAGATTCTAGATATTAGACCTTTGTCAGATGGATAGATTGCAACAGTTTTCTCCCATTCTTCAGTTTGCCTGTTCACTCTGATGATAGTTTCTTTTGCTGTGCAGAAGCTCTATAGTTTAATTAGATTTCATTTGTCAATTTTGGCTCTTGTTGCCATTGCTTTTGGTGTTTTAGTCATGAACTCTTTGCCCATGCCTATGTCCTGAATGGT